GCACAAACCTTGGTTTTAAAGTGTAAACTGGTCCATAGGTGGTTTTATGATGAGCATCTGGTATGGTGGTGGGTATTTTAGATTTAGCTTTACAGCTGGCAGCAAACAAAAAGAAAAGTTTGGAAATTGCTTTTGTAAAATGGGTTAAGCTAATTAATCAATGAGAAGCTTTTATAAAGTTTACAAAATACGATGAACTCACCACTGTGTGTGTTTGTTGGATTTTTGAAAGTCCAAAATGTTTTTCCCAATCAGGACTCTCTCAGCCTGCTTAGAGGAAGTGAGGAAAACAGGAAGTAACATGGACTTCCTGTCACTCTTTATACACACCCTACAGGAGTGTAGAAGCACTGCATTTGGATAACCAGGTGCAGCTGCTGAACCCTGGATTACAACAGCATGTCACCAAACAGCACAGTGAGGATCTGTAGGCCTATATACAGGCCCTGCAGACACCTGTGAGGATAATTAGTGACACACCTTGATTTAACATGATCCTTTAGGGGTTCCATCATTTCTGTCCAGATCTGCTGTATGAGTTTTATTATTATTGTTTTTAATTCTGTTGAAGCATGGTTGAAATGTAATGTCTGACTTTCATTTGTTCATTTTTATACAATTTTTATTATTGCTTTTGTCAGATTCAAGTCATTTTTTTATTGTGGCTTTTTCTTTCATTAAACAAGTGGTACTAACAGTTTTGTCCACATGTGTATTTCTATGCACCAAACAAACATCTTGGTTTGACTTGAATTTTCCCCTGAATCCACAGGTTTCTGTGAGTGAGCTTCAGGTGTTTGTAGTTTATCACAAATATCTGCAAAATTTAATTCTACCAGGTGTTTTAGCAACAACAAGGTGCTGTGGCTGTTTTGTGTTAAACGTRTTTAGAACCATACTGAGAGGCAGCTGTAATACATTTAATTCAGTAAATTGTAGTATTAAATGTCTACTTGAGCTGAAATCCAATAAATATAATCCCTTTTAATTAAACAATCATTTTAAGGATAAATCTGTCAGTTTAGTTTAAAAAAAACCAAAAAATATTATTTTTTATTTTGTGTGTAATAATCTTTGTCAACAGAAAAAATACTACATATTAAATGACATTTTAGATGAGATATTTTGCCAGTTGTTTTTGTAAAGGACAAACTGGACAGCCTGTAAGGTTTTTATGTGAACCTGTGTAATGTTGACATGTATATTGGAGCAGGATCCATTGTACCAACACAGGCTGTTTGTTATCTTCAGGTTGGATACTGATTGATGGCAGTGGCAAACAGTTTGGCAGTGTTACCTGCGTGACGGTACACTCATCCTTCCTAAAGGCCGTCAGGCTGTGCAGGAGGTGCTGGCTGAGGCAAAGGACTACCTCATCAAGGACCTGGTAGAGCTTTGTCAAAACACACTGCAGGTCACATCAGAACCAACTGCTATAGTACACAGAGAAATAAAACACTTTATTATGACAATAATCTTTTTAATTACACTATGTTGAAGAGAGATTGTTTTACATTTATTTTAAAGCTTCACATTTTCATTCATGATTTATTTCTGTGTGGAATTCTAACATGTAATGTGTTTTATTTCTGCATGACAGGACAATAAAGAACATCTCCTGTGTGTTGTACCAGTTATTACTTCCTGTAAAGAAGAGGAACGACTCATCCAGTCCTCCAAGGTAAACACAGACCATCACACCAGACTTTTGAACTAAAGTCTTCTAAAAACAAACAACACTGAAGCAGCGAGGCTGGACTTACT